AGGAGGAGGAGGAGGAGGCGAAAAGGCAGAAGCAAGACAACAGGAGTGGAGAAGAAGCAGAGTCGTAGAGAAGCATGGCGGGTAGCTACTACAAGGAGTGAGGAGGGAGGGAGGGAGTTCTACTTGAAGGCCTGCTCAGCGTCGGGATAATCCTCCAGGGACTGGAGGCAGTCGGCGTAGGAGAGCCAGATGTCACCTGAGGGAGATGTAAAAGGGGAAAACAAGCGATAAGCAGGAGGAGGAGCAAGGGGAGGAGGCGGAGGAAGAGGAAAAGGAGTTAGAGGAAGAAGAATAAGTAGGAAGGGAGCGAGGGAGGGAGGGGAAGGGAGGGAGGGAGGATGATGAGGAGGAGGAGTGGCAGGATAAGGAGGAAGGGAGGAAACGAGATGGAGAAGGAGGAGAAAGGGAGGAGGAGGGGAGGGGGGAGGGGGGAGGAGGAGGAGGAGGGAGGAGGGAGGGGGGCGAGGAGCTTTTCTTTCATCTCCTTTCACACTCACATTCTTCAGGTACCAATGCGATGAGATGGCGATAGAGGCATTCCCCAACCTAAAGGCGATGAGATACCATCCTCCTCCCCGTATCTCCTCCTCCTCTCCTCGTTTCCCCCGTTCTCCCAATCTTACTCCTCCTCCTGCCTTCCCTCCTTCATCGCTCCTCCCCCTCCTCTCTTTCTGCTGTTTCTCAGTTCACCTTGTAATCTTTCTGCACAGTGGCAGCCATGTTCGCGTACCGCATCAAAGTACAGAGGTGATTCCGGTCAGCCTGCATGTCGGTCATCGTCGACTCACACCTCCTCGTCATCTCCCTCTCTTCTCCATGTTTCGATCTTACATGCTCCTCCTCTCCTCTCCTCTCCTCTCCTCTCCTCTCCTTCTCCTCTCCACTCCTTCTCCTCTCCTCTCCTCTCCTTCTCTCCTCTCCTCTCCTCTCCTCTCCTCTCCTCTCCTCTCCTCTCTTCTCCCCTCCGTTTTTTCACTTTCTTTCTTCTCTTCTTCTCCTTCCCCCTTCTCTCTTACAGTCCCACCCCTCGCCTCTCCTCTCCTCGTCACCTGAAGGGCTTCAGCGTAGGCTCGACTAGCTGCCGCCTGGTTGCCTCTCTCCTCCTCCAGGAAAGCTCCTGAAGGAGAGGCAGATGATGGTGAGAGGAGCAGGAGCGAGAAATGCGCGAGAAGAGAAGAAGGGGAAAGGCAGGGAGAGCATGGGGAAGGAATCGAACAAGGCTTCAAGGGAGGAGGAAGGGAGGGAGGGAGGGAGGGGGGGGGGTGGAAGAGATGGTGGACAAGATGGTGGAGGAAGGATGCGTTTACGTGGTGTCCCGAGGAGAGAATGAGGAGTGAGATGGAAGGCTGCCTTTCGGATGGGTTCGGTGCCCTCCTCATACACCTCCTGATCCTGCTGGTCCTGCTGGACATCATCATGATG